CAGTTTTGGCTTGTCGAAGAGAGGCTGCATAACGCAATAAGCTTTTCGGATTGGAGACAAATTTAAACTTTGTCTGGTACGGAAGCCTGTCTTCTCTTATAGCCTTCATGCATATATTCCTTATATGTGTGCACTACCTGTACGCTCCATTGTTATCAGATCGTTTGTATTCTGCCCAACAGTGCCTTTTGCGGCTTAGCAGGCGGAGAGTGCGGTTCTTGATTATTGTAGGTGGCTTGCAGCTTTTGGGAGCCGTTTGAGGAACTAAATGGTTTGTAGCACGTAAGAGCGTGTGCAGTAAGAAGTCCCAATGAGTATCCACATCAAGTTGTGGGTGAACATCCCAATCCACCTGTTGTTGATAGTCCTGTAGAGCTGAAACATTCAACCGTTTGAAATTCCAGCTCATATTGTTGGTGGGATATCTTAGCTCAGTCTTGCTGACAAAACTGAAGGCTACAACGGCGTGATCGCTTTTTCCCAGGGGAGCCAGGATTGAGGTTGTCAACCAGAAATTCTTCGTTTGTCAATATACCGTCTAGGCGCGACGGCGTCTGACTGTTTCTTCACTGAGTTGCCGACTTCACAATTCCGTATAATCTCAAATCTTTAATGGGGTTGAAGAACCGAGCCGCAGTTGGGGTTTCACTTCTAACATACGTATGTTTCGCGAAACTGACTCTAGGGAGACTGAAGTCCCCTAGAATCAGGATATGAGTGAAACCAAGACACGTAGAGCGGGATAGTCCTCCCAGCATACGACTCTCATACTCTATGTCGGCAGTGGGCTTCCTATATGTGACTCTGACTAGGCACCTTGAAGTAGTAGACAATCTTACAGAGCACCATATGGATTCCTCAAGATTGTTAAACCCGAGGTGTATGAACTTGGTGTACCCCCAAGCAAGATCGTATGCATACGGTTACTCCACCCGCAATTCTGTCGTTGCGAAACAAAGACAGCCCAGGTATTGCTAGCTCCTGGTCCTAGAACAGAGATATCCAAGATTCAGATATTCCTACCAGATGAGCATTAGTAGCATTGATAAGTTTCTCAACTAATCTCAGTTTTATTTTGAGGGATGACGCTAAGAGCAGCGCCAGTATCCACCAAGAAATTGAAGCCAGAGTTTCTGTCTCTAACATGAAACAAGCGACTGTTTAGGCGCCCCTCCTCAGTCGTCGCGACCTGAGGAGGGGTTACTCGTTTCCCGCTGTCTTAGAATTATGCTTAGGCCAGGCGCATGGTTGCATGCACTTGGTTGAGTTGACACCAAACTTCCAGTGGTACCAACAAAACTGCCCAGATTGTCTGGACATTTGTGACCTGTTTTGTGACTTGGATCGTGGTCGTTGTGGTGACCTGCTCCTGTTTCTATGACCCATTTGCATTCTGGTGACAGCCTCAGTAAGACTCTTAACACTCGCAATGAGTCCTTTTATTACGGGGTTTTTTGCTGATTCTACTTGTGTGTGATTTATTGTGCCTGATCCAGTTGGAGGGCCTCTTTCCATTATTCTGTCAGCAATACGCGCTAGATGAGATAATGAGGTTTCAGGATCCTGTGCATCCAAACAGTGTTGGACGTAGCATGGGAGAGCTTGTATCCATCCTTGTTTTAGGACTGCTTCACTCACTGTGTTATCACCCACTAGGACTTGGAGGTGACGTAAAAACTGTGACGGCGAACGATCACCTAGTGTTTCACCTTGAAAAAGTCTTTGGATTCTTCGACTATCTGATAATGATAAACGGTTCATTATCTCTCGTCTTAAGATGGTGTATGGTTGTGGTGATGATGGATCTAAAATCAAGTCACGGACTTCTTTGGCGACTGAAGGAGGAAGGATAGAACACAAGTCTCTATAGCGAATCTCTTCAGATTTGATATTGTGTCTCGTGAAACAATGCTCTGGCTGAGCAAACCACAACTCAGGATCACTACGATCAAATTCTGGAAGTCGAGATTTCGTAGTCATAACAGTGTCTATCTCCACTGGTGACAAATCCTCCAGATTATGGGTTTCTATTGAGTCTGACATGAGGTAAGTGACAAATATAGCAATAAAGTTAGCACAAAAGTGGTTACTATAACACGAATAACTTAAGATAATACGGAATAAACTAGTTATATACTCAAATTAGTTTACGGATAATCAGGTCTACTTTTACGATTAGGTAAAAAAAATGTTAATAACAGAAATGAGGTTAAATTTGTGTTCAAAAAAGGCTCACCAATTTCGTGCCTTAAAGTAACCCTCGTGCTATTGATAGAAGAAACCAGACAAGTATTGAATAGGTCTTTATTTCGATCTCAGCGCGGTCACAGTGGAGCGTGGGACTATCTGTTCAGACAAACAAAGGCTCTCAACATTCAATATAAGACAATAGGGAATTTAACGCTTATACAAAACAAGGAAGTGAATGAATACTTGAACAATACTGTTTTGGCATATGCTTGGGTGTTTGGGGTCAACTCTTAACCAACCAACCTAAGCTGTTACAAGTTCACGTAGCCCATCCATTTTTTTTGGTCGACTAGCGGCGTTCATGTATAAGCAGTTTATGCTTTCAATCTGAAACGCGTAATCTTCTTCCGGTTTGCTTGTATGAGCCTTACGTGGATGGACAGGTGGCCTACCTATATAAGGTTTGCCGAGTTGGTAGGCCCTGTCCTTTACATGTTTTTTTACCACCAAGACAGTCCACAACTGGAATGATCAACTCCGACTTACTTTTGTGCTTGTTCCTGGCATCATATGGCCTATCCGGGTGCATGTGGATTCCAGTTGGCAACTGACGTATCTTGGCACTAAATGTTTCCAAAGTTACAGCCGCCATGTTGAAGGATGGGAAAGTTATCCCCATTAGCAGGGGTCTAGAACCACCGTCTTTCTTCGCTAGTCTCGTCTCATGTTGAGTCAGTATGTTTTTGAGCCTCAAGAACTGCTGGATGACTTTCCATTCCCTAATATCAGAGTCTGCTTGACTAAGGTCCGTGTTTCGTCCGCGGAAAAACGTCTCACGAGATTCTTTAGGGATGTTCCGGTTGGGATTGCGCTCGGAATACGATATGTCGACCAGTATTCCTACGTTCCCATCAGATTCCAGTAAATGACTAGCTAGAAGAACATCCTCTACGTCTGTTGCATTCTTAGGTGTTACACGAAGTAGCGTCGGGTGATTGTGATGCATAGATTCCGTGTGACCGGCAAAGGCTGTATTCTAGGAAGTTCAAGTTTTTTGTTCAATTCACCTCAGAGCATCCTGTCATTTTTGTCCTGCAAAATGAGTAGAAGGTCAGGGTTGTCTTTGAGGTTCATGATTATGAGAGAGTCATTATGAACCGTTATTGTTTTCACAAGTTTTCCAGTGCTTCCAGGTTCAGCACCTTGTTGTTTGGAGGTCAAAGCAAGTTTCCGAATCTTAGGCTCTGTGATGACAGGACGGACATTCTTGTGGGTAGACTGTGAGACCAAATCACCAGATCAGCTAAGACAGTGACGTCTGTTTCTTTTTGGCTCAATCAACGTGGATCCAATCATGTACAGCGTTTTTGGGAACCACTGTTGCATTCAAGGACCCTTAGCAGGGAAACCCGAGTTTACTGACGGAGTCTATTACCGTTGACGTAATGATGGTGCTGAGTTTCGACATTTCATCATTAACGCTAATGCATGCTCCATCGATGATAGACCTGTCGACATTCCTATTCTTGTTCTCCTTGCGCGCCCTTGTTTGTCTACCCGCTTTTTTGACTGTCTTTTTCCATGTTTGCCGACAAATTACTCCGCAGACCTGTCAATAGAACAATGATGTTACTCAGCAAGACTACAGCACCTGTGCTGCGTGTAACACATTCCCACTTATGATCCGACTTGCTGAGTCTATTGTAAGCAGTTGCCGTGAGATCTGTGCACGCTTCATGGAACCAACCTTTGCAGTTGTCGCACTGCATGCCAGATGTAACAGCAAAACGGCATCCAGGTCGTTTGCATGAATTTTTCATGACTATATTGACGTAAACTGTGTTATAGATGCTAATAAAAGCCTAAGACCTTACAAAAATACACTAAAAAGCACACTTAAAGCGAGCAAAAATGGATATAAACGGATGAGATAAACTGAACTAGCCTGTGGTGAACCAGACGATGTATAAACGTGAAAAATATCAACAAAGTCATTAAAGATCAATAGTAATATTAATATATACCAGTTAATTGTTACAAACACAATAAAAAATTGGGACTTTACTTAGGTTCACCAAATTGATGCGTGTTCAGCTTTAGTCTGGTACTGTAAATCCACAATTATAAATGCTTGGGAATTCCAATCAGGTTGACGAACTCTCCAGTAGTGTAATCCAACGTAAAGTATGGTATATTCCTACTCACAGTCTATAAATGTAGGTAATATTTGATTCAGATTTCAGTTAACTCAACCACAAACGAAAATAGAACGAGGGATACGTGTGTAGCAATGTATTTGTTAACAAGCAATCGTATGTCACGCTATGTAGTTACAAAACGGAAAGTGTGTTCATGGTCGTTCACTTAAACAGCAGATACAGTTATTTAATGATAAATGTACATACAGGGAAAGATTTACGAAATAAATACAAATAATATTAAAAACTATTTACAAAATAAGCTTTTCAGGTCTATCTCCACAAGCCTTTTCGTGTATAGTACGCTGAGGCAAAACCACAGTTAACTATTAAATTGAGTGAAACACGAAAAATAGTAATCTACCAAACGTATGGCCCAGAATAGATTCTTTCGATCAGTAATGTTACTTTCGTTGCGTAAGAACGCAGCAAAAGTTTGATAAATGCGCGGTAACAATATGTTCCTATCTAGAAGCAATGTTTGATAATACTGATGAAAATAATTTTTAGGCTACATCTTCTTGCGGAAAAGTAACCCATGACTTGTTCAGAACTGCGACTTTAGATATTGTACGCACAATCAGTGACAACTTGAAATGCATCAATTCAAGGCCAGGTTTCAGGCAGATAATTTAGTGTTAAGGTATTGCATTCTATCTTTCTGAAATATTCGGCTTTATAATGAAGCTACCAATTTTGTAAAAGCCTAGACTGTCGCTGTTGAGTTTTTCATGACATTTTTTATAAACTTATCATGATCGTAACTAGTTTTCATGTCCATTTAGTTGGCTCAGTGAGTTTATCCATCAGATCATGTTATACAGATAACCTAAATTATTAAAGGATTGTAGTAATTTGTTGGATGCGCTTTCAACACAGCCTGTGAAAGCGATATTTATCTGAATCTAGTTCCGCTTTGAAAGGGAATTTTGCAACACCAAAATCCTTTCGACCAAATATATAATCGCCAATTGTAATAAATCTTGTTGTCGTTTTATGTAACGGTTTTCCCAGTTCGAAATGGTTTGTTGCAAAAAGCAACTTTCATAGTGTATGCCATCGCAAAAATTATTCATTTTAACCCTAATAAACCCTAGTAAATTTACCCTATATCTCCACGCAACATTTCAAACTGTTGTTGTCTGAAATCCACTTCGAAACCACACAAAACAGGAGTTTAAAAATACTTCGGTGTGTAGTGTAGGTATAAGAAAAACCTTTTTTGCGAATACCTGAATCAAGAGTATATGTACACATGTATTTCTTTTAGAAACTAAAGCCATAATCTTAGTTGTTCCTTAAAAGAGAGGATGGAATTTCAGCCAGTAGCATACACTACCTTTCAATCTGTGCCTGGTTGGCACAGCTTCAAAAGTATTGTGAGGCTGCGCTTTTGTAGGCTTATACTTGAGCATCCAACTTCTAGAGATGAATCTTCCAGTGTCCGTATTCCCAAAAGCAGTCCCCACGTTTTAGGCACTTATACGGTCACAAATTTCTGAGGTCCATCATAGGAGCCTGATTCACATGGCAGGGGTTTTACATCAAAGCAGGAGGACTGAAATGTCCAGTCGATCAGTCAATATGCTGCAAAGTATGTGTTTGTTGGTCCTGGTTGTCACGCCACTTCTGTAAAGTTATATAAAATCAACATGGTTTGAAAAAGTAATAATACCGACAATAGTAAAACTGGCTATAGAAAATATGATTTTGAGGAAGAAATGAAATGAGGAAATGAGACATAAAATAGCGCTGAAACTAAAGATTCAGAGAAAGATAGCGGATAAATTCGTTTGTTTGAGTGATCGATCTAAAACCTTCATACCTAGTATTCCCAACTCGATAGTATTCTCCTACCCAAATGACTCAACCAACAGTCAGTTAATTCCTGGAAAAAATCACGTTTTTATTTAATCTAGCACGCACCACAATACCAAGAAGTTTTATTACTAGGACAAAATACATATCCAATATATGTTAGTTTCCAATAGTTACTTACTTACTTACACCTTTTACTCCCAATGGAGCATAGGCCGCTGACCAGCATTCTCCAACCCACTCTGTCCTGGGCCTTCTTTTCTAGTTCCATCCAATTCTTGTTCATTTTTCTCATGTCTATTTCCATTTCCCGGCGTAATGTGTTCTTTGGTCTTCCGCTTCACCCCCATTGACCTTGAGGATTCCATGTGAGGGTTTGCATTGTGACACAGTTGGGTGCTTTCCTCAATGTGTGTCCTATCCACTTCCAGTGCTTCTTCCCGATTTCTTCGTCCTCTGGAATCTGGTTTGCTCTCTCCCACAGTACGTTGTTGCTAATTGTGTCCGGCCAACGGATCCGAAGTATTTTGCGTAGACAACTGTTAATAAACACCTGTATTTTCTGGATAATGGCTTTCGTTGTTCTCCAGGTTTCTGCCCCATACAGTAGAACTGCCTTGACATTTGTATTGAAAATCCTGACCTTTGTGTTGGTTGACAGTTGTTTTGAGTTCCAGATGTTCTTCAGTTGTAGATATGATGCTCTTTCTTTGCCGATCCGCGCCTTCACATCTGCATCAGATCCACCATGTTCATCAATGATGTTGCCCAAATATGTAAAGGTCTTCACATCTTCCAAATCGTCTCCGTCAATTTTGATTGGATTGGTGCACGCTGTGTTGTCTCGGAGAATCTTGCTTTTCCCTATGTGTATATTGTGATACCTACTGCTGCTGAGGCTACTGCTACACTATTCGTCTTCTGCATTTGTTGTTGCGTTTGGGATAGAAGGGCCAGATCGTCTGCGAAGTCTAGATCATCCAACTGCATCTTAGATGTCCACTATATCCCCTGCTTCCCTTCAGATGTTGATGTCTTCATGATCCAGTCGATCACCAGGAGAAAGAGAAAGGGTGAGAGTAAGCAACCTTGCCTAACACCGGTCTTCACTTCGAACGAGTTTGTCAATTGTCCTCCATGCACAATTTTGCAGTGTAATCCATCATATGAACTCTGTATGATATTGACTATCTTCTGAGGCACGCCGTAGTGTCGAAGAAGTTTCCATAGTGTTGTTCTGTCCACGCTATCAAATGCCTTTTCGTAGTCAATGAAGTTGATGTAGAGTGATGAATTCCATTCAATTGATTGTTCCACAATTATCCGTAGAGTTGCGATTTGGTCTGTACACGATCTATCCTTACGGAATCCTGCCTGTTGGTCACGAAGTTGGGCGTCTACGCAGTCCTTCATCCTGTTTAACAATACCCTGTTGAAGACTTTTCCAGGTATTGAGAGAAGAGTGATGCCTCTGTAGTTATCACACTTGCTGAGATCGCCTTTCTTCGGTATTTTGATCAGAAGTCCTTCTTTGCAGTCTGTTGGTACTTGTTCCTCATCCCAAATCTTATTGAAGAGAATGTGGAGTATCCTTGCAGTTGCCGCTACGTCTGCTTTCAGTGCCTCTTCTGGGATGTTCTCCGGTCCTGCTGCTTTGCCACTCTTGATTTGTCTGATGGCCATGCTGATTTCTTCAAGTGTTGGTGGGCCAACATTGATTGGGAGGTCCGTGGGTGCTGCTTCGATGTTGGGTGGGTTCAGTGGAGCTGGTCGATTCAACAGTTCTTTGAAGTGTTCTACCGACCTGTTTTGTTGCTCTTCAATGTTGGTGATTACCTTGCCTTCCTTGCTTTTCACTGGTCGTTCTGGATTGTGGCGATTTCCAGAGAGTTTCTTTGTTGTGTCATACAGTTGTCTCATGTTTCCTTCTCTTGCAGCCTTTTCCGCCGTCGTTGCCAAATCTTCCACATATTTACGTTTGTCGGTCCTGATGCTCCTCGTCACTTGTTTGTTTATTTCCGTGTATTCAGCTTGTGCCTTGGCTTTTTCTGCTCTTGTTCGGCTGGTATTGATCGCTGCCTTCTTGTTCCTCCATTCTTGAATCTTATCCAGTGTACCAACAGTGATCCATTCCTTGTGGTGGTGCTTCTTGTGACCCAGGACCTCATAAAATGTTGAAATGATTGCCTCTTTGATCCCCTTCCAGCTGCTCTCCACAGTAGTTCCTTCTTCATTTAGTAGATCATGAAAGGCCTGGAACTTGTTGCTGAGGTCTATCTTGAATTTGTTGAGTTTGTTAGTATCCTGGAGAAAGGCCGTATTGAACTTTTGTGATACTGTCTGCCTCGTTGTCCAGTGCTTCTTGAGTTTCAATTTCATCTTGGCGACCAGTAAGTGATGATCTGATGCTATATCAGCTCCTCTCTTGGTTCTCACGTCCTCTATAGTCCTCCTGAACGTTTTGTTGATGCAAATATGGTCGATTTGGTTTTGTGTAGAATGATCCGGTGAAGTCCATGTGGTTTTGTGTATGCGTTTATGTGGGAATATGGTGCCGCCTATGACCAGCTTATTGAAGGCACATAGGTTTGCAAATCTCTCACCATTTTCGTTTCTTTCTCCCAGTCCGTGTCGTCCCATGATGTCTTCATATCCAGTGTTGTCCGTTCCAACCTTGGCATTGAAATCTCCCATCAGAATGGTCAGGTCCTTTGTTGGGCACTTCTCGACTATTGACTGCAGCCTATAGTAGAATTGATCTTTAGCGTCTTCATTGTAGTCGTTGGTAGGCGCATAGCATTGGATGATGTTCATTGAAATGCCCTCTTTCTTTGTTTTAAACGAGGCTTTGATGATCCTTGGTCCATGAGATTCCCATCCTATAAGTGCATTTTGCGCTTGTTTGGACAGCATCAATGCAACTCCTTGTGTATGTGGTGCATTTTCTTCTTCATGGCCGGAGTATAACAGGAGCTCTCCTGTAGTTAGTTGTTGTTGTCCAACTTGTGTCCAATGTGTTTCACTGATCCCAAGTACCTCTAGGTTGTATCTTCTCATTTCTGCAGCAGTTTGGAAGGCTCTTCCGGTGTCCCACATTGTACGAACATTCCATGTACCTAAATAAATGGTCGCTCTGGTTGTCAGAAGGGGCATCGGCCTCGTAACTTCCGAACGGATTCGGCTTTCATCATGAGGCGTCATAATTCTTCTAAATGATCTTCTGACTCCCAGGGCAGAGTTTAAAAGGTTTGAATAATTTTTTCTGGTTAGCGTTTTTTTAGCGAGTTAGTTTTCTACGGGATGGGGACGCTAACCCCATGCCCAACCCTCCTCCTTTATCCGGGCTTGGGACCGGCAGTAGCCCCCGGAGGGACTCCGGGCGGAGTTGTTACCTAGCAACATTTGGGTAATATTCAGACTTGCTTGATCAATAGAGTCATCTTTAAACACTGTGTGTTCTTGCGGATTGATGGTTGTTTGATTGGTTCCACCATCCTGAAACACACTTCGGTGGCTTGGGCATGTTTATTGAGTTTCATCTGAATGGCTTCTACACTATGGATTCTTTTCTCACTTCAAGGCTGAGAAATAATCATTTCATGCCGTAGAGCTGTAGTATGGAAAATAGTTCTACGGAACTGGGAATTATTGGTCTGTCTCGATACCGTGGTTACTGTCTTATGTACCGTGGATCTAAAATATGGCTCGTAATAAAAGCGAATTATGAACCTACTGTAGCCTCCCTATCCATTCTTTACAGACGTGAAATGAACTTTCTTAGCTGAAAGAAATATTTCTTGGTTGTGTTCTGGTCAAACTCGGGGAGTAGCTCCCTAAGGAAAGCATCTGCCTAGTTTTGGGCATCTAATCTTTTCGATTACTGCTTATACTTTTACCACCTCTACCACTATGGGATTTGAATCGAAAGTTGTATCTCTGTGCTAATGTGGTACGGCAACTCGATGTACGTACGTACAAAGTTCTACTTTGTTGCTGACTGACTGAATTGGGCACCCGGGTAGTATCCCAGCACACACAAATTAAATGATGACTGCAACTAAAAAACAACTCACTGTTTAATTCTCACTCTCGCAAATCATACTCAAAACTATTTGTTAACAAACGTTTTTACTTTTTGATGCATCACTTATCTGTTTCTCTATCCCCATTTTATATATTCTTTTGTTCTTCAACTTATACATGTCCTTTCTAAACGATGTCAAGTTACTGGCTGGTCGAAAGTTCAAGACTACCACCGAATACAAATTCCGAACCAGTTTTTCTAAAACCACCTATACCATTTAAACTAACCTCCTTCAACGTTCACACGTTAAGGCAGATCGGACAACACAGGTGTGACTGTCTCTAGGATGTCTTAACATCGATATCTGTTGTCTATCCTAGACCCGTATTCAAGACTACAACGAACAGTTACATATTCGCTCTTCATCTGCCGCTTCGAAAAGTCTGTTTCACATACGTTTATCCGGAAACCCTGTTTTATTGTCTGGTTTTGCTGGTGTTGGTGTCGTACCATGTGCTGGAGCTGAGGCAGCATTAGTCGATTGGATCCCCATAAACAGTCGATTACGTGCTGTCAGATTAAAAAGCTCTATCAAAGTGAGAAATCGGCATGAGAAACAATGTTTTTTCGTTATCTTTGCCTACGCCCCGACAGACTGCAGCCCGAATGCGACCAAGGATGACTTCTATTACCAGTTAAGTGTTCTACAGAAAGTGCTTTCGACAGATATTGTAGTACTAGCCGGAGGCTTGAACGCTTAGGTTGGGGTTTTGGGCACAGTGGAGCGTTGTTCAGATGGCTAATCGGAAGTCGTTAGTCGTAGGTCAGATAACAGGGACCGTCTACTGCAACTGTGCGCAGACCACAACCTGTTATTAGCTAGCACTAACTATCGGCACAGTCATCGCTGATGTGCTACCTGGCGTCTTCCCTCTTCATCTCAAGACTGGACCCAGATTGATCACATTGTGATCAGCTACCACTGGTGTGGTTGTATATGAGACTGCCGCTCGTTTTTGAGTACCCATCTGGATTCTGATTATGGCCTCATTTGCGCTAATGTCACCTTACGTTTCAGTGCCCAACAAATTTGTCGTCCTAAACGAACCGATGTCAGTAGGTTGATTGCACCTTCTACTGAAATTAGATATGAAACCAAGCTAGGTTCAAGGCTAGCTACCACCCCATCGAAGTGTATAGATGTGCATTGGTTGCAATTGTATGGCACTATGAAAATGGCGAGTAGTTGCTTGCGACTTTACGAAACGTCCAGCTTATAAGAACTGCGTTTTTTTCAGACTCTTTACGACTCATTGAAGCCCGTCGGTCTACTCTGAAGGACCGTGAGTTTGGCCACAATCGACGACCGTTACGTAATGAAATTGAACAAACCTTGCGTAAAAACCGAGAAGCCTAGTGGTCGGAGCGTGCCAATGAGTTGGAAGTGGCAGCTGCCTCTGGTAACTGCCGAAGGCTCTTTCAACTCATCCGAGCCACTGGCAGCAATAAGTCTGGTGTGAGTAAAACAATCTGTGAAGATGACAGGATGCCAGCCACTAACATCTGTCGACGTCTTGGACAATGGGCAGAGATTTCCGGGGGGCAGTTCAACTGGTCTTCCGCCCCGGCATCATCGATCAGACTGTTTTGTTCTCCATGGCCAGTGACGACTGAACCACATAACGAGGGGAAAGTTCTAAAAGAACTCTGACTCTTGAAGCGCTAAAAATCAACAGGCCCGCATGACTTGCCTTTGGTACTTCTTAAATGTTAGCGACTTTCTGGTTAAGTTGTTTACGAGCGTCTGGCGATTAGAGAGTGTTTCAAGATCGTTAAATGAGTCGATAGTTGTCTCTAATTTTAAAAGAATTTTACGTCACCCAAGTAGACTTCCGATTGTTAAAAAATTGTTGCCTTCCCTCATACTTCGCAGATTGTCCAAAACCCGAGATTGACTCGCTGGGATTAGGCTGGTTTTCTTTCTAGTTGAGGGTGTATTGATCATATCTTCATCATCCGCCAAATGTTAGAACACCGTCATACTTATTACAGGCCAACAATCGTGGTGTTTCTTGACATCAGGGCCGCTTGCGATTCACTGGAAGTTCGTGTATCTGAGTAGCTGCATAAGTCCTGGTTGTGGCGTGAGTGCAGAGATCAATCCACGTATAGTGAAAGCCAGAGCGGCTTATGCCAATCTGGGCCATTTTTAGCGCTTCCGTGATGCTAGTCATGCTGTGACGTCGGATCTACAGTGCGTCGGTGAGAGTAGTTTCGCCCTAAGCTTGTGAAACCTGGCCTCTCCGAGTTGAAAATGTTAGACGACTCTGTATTTGATCGTCGTTATCTCCAAAGGATTGCTGACACCCAGTGGCAACAACATGTTAGTAATGTAGAGGTTCGGCATCATGTGTTCGGGTACAGCGACGATAATACAATTGGTGTCACGATCTTGGAACGTCGGCTTCGATGGTTTGGACATGTCCTACGATTATGGTTTCAGAGAATTCCTCGTCGTGCATTATTTTCCGACGCTGGGGCTGGTTGGAAAAAGAGATGTGGTCAGTTTATGATGTGGTGTTGTAATGTGAAAGAAAGCTGTACAGAACTGGCTTCTGTTAGTCATTCACGACTTCCTGGTTGGAGTCCTAGAAATGGTGTAACAAAGTGGCTTGAGGTGTTATCAGAAATGTTTCAGAATAGAAGCCAGCGGTGATCGTGATGTAACTTTTTTCCTTAAAAGTGAGAGTAACTCCTTTAACCGAAAGGATTTCTGGTTGTATTTTTCGTAACTGAACTGTTTCTCTCATTTATTATTATTATTATTATTATTATTATTTCACTCACACTCACTAATTTATATCCGTTTTTATTCTTTTTTTATTATGCACGCCTTCCTTTATCTGCTTCACAACTTCATTTTCATTCTGTTGCGCATATATATTTTGGTGCTTCCTTGTAACAGCATTTATGTGTTCAAATAAATGAGTTACAAACTTTTTACGATATTTGATAATTTCGAATAAATTGAGCATTGGGTAGATTGTTATAAGTAATTAATATATTCTCTGAAGAAGCGACCTAAAATAAGTCACGAAACGTCAGGAAATCTAATTTTTCTACTCATTAGGATTTTACAAATATATTGTTTATTTTTACGATATTGATTATAGCATTTTATGCCAATATGGTTTATTTAAAATATACTGAGATGATATCACTTCCCATCCGATGTTAGGTATAGCAAACTAGTGTTTTCACAGGTTTCATTTCTTATAAAATAGCTACCTGATATTAAATATAGTCCTTATAAATTAAAAATATCAATCGAACTAGTACTCTTAATGTTACCGTTATGCGATTCGTTGTGTTTAATATTACATACAATTTTGACTAGTACGTAATATTTGTTCAAGAAATGAGATTAAAATATAGCTCTTTCACAGTTTTACTCAGTAAGGAATAAAGGTAGGTTTGAACTCCTGTAAATTGCTCCATATCTCGTCTCATGATTTCCCTGAAATAAGTATTTTTGTGGTTATTTTATTCAAATAAATCCCATCAAATTGATGCGAACGATAGAGTAATCTTAGTAACTTTTTTTCAAATATTTTTACGTGGTGTAGTGTGGAGTACAGAAATCAATGACAGAACACAAAAATCCTACAGATATCAATGAAGTATTACCTCCGTCTTTAGCTGCTGTTAGAGAGATATTTTCGGAGTTTAACGTCTCGGAAGTTTCGGATGAAATATGTACACGGGTTTTGGACGTTTTGTATAGTATGTTTTGTTTTAAAGTTTGACTTTATACGGTAGGACACACATGTGATGTCATCGAAGAGGCAAAGGCTGTTTCTCATCATGCCGGTCGACCGAAAATTGAGGAAGATGACGTACAACTAGCCATCAATTCAGTCACAGATGGACTTATGTTCGCACCCCCATATAGAGATCAGTTACTAGCTTATGCTGAGAAAAATGAACAGCCACTACCACCTGTTCGTCCTCATTGTGGCATTCGTCTACCCGCTGAACGCTTCACACTCACAGCTCCAAATTATTCACTTTTATCATGTGCAGACAACGCAAAAACAGTAAGATCCAATATATATATATATATATATATATATATATATATATATATATATATATATATATATATATAATATTTAGGCTTTTGTATTCATCTTTGTTCATATAGCTTGCTACAAAGAAAGGTTTCTTCACTTCGTTTGATTATCAACCAAGTGGATCACGGGATCGAAACTTTTTCCATTTATTATTAGAAGCAGACAAGTATCGCTAGGTCTGAATATGGGAGTTGTAGTCCTAGTCATTTACTCCTTATATTACTATATTCCCAGATTGAAATCATGAGTCAGTTGAAGCTAGACCACCATTGAAAACCTGGAAGCACTGGACGGCCGTTTCAATGGTGGTCTAGCTTCAACTGACTCATGATTTCAATCTGTGAAATTTCTAAAATCTCCACAAAACCCTTTCTGATATTACTATATTCACCAATCGGAATCAGCTTAAACAACTATCTAAAGTATTATAAATACTATAAACGTATATTTTCACATTTTTCAAGATCGTCGATAAACGATTATGTATGAGCTCATAGAATGTGTTGTGAAATAGAATTTCGTTTGCTACTCCCCAAAACTTAAATGCTTAGTAACTCAATCAACATTGTAAACTCTTGACTCCCCTTACTGTGTAACACCTTTATTGGATGTGATAATTAATTACGCAGCTATGAGTAATGGAGACGGTGTGTTTGCAATATCGCGGACGTTCCTTCCAGGGGCCTGTGGAAAATAACGATTTTCTTTGTGACTATTATTTGACTGATGACATGGTGCAAGGCGATGATATTATTCAAATATGGTCCACTAAATCCTTTTGTTTCAAATTTTAGTGTTTCGAATGTTTTTATAACTCCATTAAAGAGTACATGTCACCAATGGTATTCATACAATCCACTTGCTTGTGCTATGTGTAGATATACTATCAGGCTGTATAGTTATGTTATTTGGACATTAAAGTCATGAAGATCAAAAAGCTCTTTTCTATTGGTGACCTCAATGTATTGGTTTTACCACTTAAGTTTCTGTGAAGTACTATTACTCTCATCTGTAAATATAACTTAAATTTTAGGGAGACCTTAAAACAGTACCAGAATTAAACTTGATTTATTTTTAAATAAGTAGAAAAGTCACTCAGTACATTGTAATTTATTCTTTTTTATGACTTCCTGACCGTGTGAATGGTCCATTTTATTCTCAGGTGTGATGAAATATTTACCCATTCATTGAAGCTGTGTTTGAAATAAAGAAAATATATTAGTAAGCGTTCCTGTTTCATCTATTTTTCATTTCTGATTCGATAGAATCCTTCATCTGAACTCGCTGGGGATTCTTCGATGACACTTCATATATCCAACCCCGTTAATCCTACCAAAAATATATTTAGAGCTATTAATCCTTCAACCAGACCAATTACTGTTGGTAATCCTATGGGACCATCTGTTCATGTTATTGCCGCTCCTGGAATGGGACCTTCTATGATTCGTGTTCAAACTGTCCAAAATGTTGCTCAATTGTCCAGTGTAGATACCAGCACTGGCTTACGAACACTTCCCGTGGGCCCTACTGTATCCAGTGGTAAGTTTTTTAACGAATCTTTTTGCTTCTTAGTTTGGTCAAATATTAAATTGAATCATCTGTTCAACATTTGTCGTTCGCTTTAAACAACGTACCTGATATTATGCGTTTGTGCAAGGTTCTAAGTTACCTAATGACCTACTTTAATTGATTCATACCTGGTATAATATCAAAAGTTTTTACAATAGTGTGGTGAAAATCTACATTTTGGGAGTTTAGTTGAAGAATTTCAGTAAATTGTTATGAAACAACATGCTTTCTATAGATAGATCTTTCTAAACCAGTATTATTTAGTTTTTTCCCTCAAAATACACTAGTTATTTTTAATCAACAATACTCTATGCACAGTATTTGTGGCTTAGGATATGAATGTAGTAATACAAGTATTTTAAGAGTTGGCCATTTTTTAGTGTCATGCTTTCGATGGCATGAAATCTGCTCCATAAACAATATTAGCTCTTATAGCACTTTTTTTAGGAAGGTAATAATTCCCAGTCAATGCATGAGAAAAACATTTATGGTAATATTGGTTCTTTGGTAACTTATCGTCAGTTAGCTCTATACACCTCATTGTTCCATACTTTAATGATCTTGACCTCACTTATTCTAGTGAGTTGTTTACACTAATTTCTCAATGGCTGTTTTTTTGATCATACAAGTGTTCCGCTTGCGACAAATTCAAAGATGAATTCAGATATTTTAGTAAGTCGTCCCGTGAACGTGTAAACTTCCTACTTCAGCAAACAAAAGAGGGAGATTGTGCTTTCATAGGAAGTGCTTCGAAATTCTGTATACAGCAATCATTTACCGAACCAGGAATGATGAGCATCTTAGCTGTGTACACATAATCATTTGGTTATGACTTATACTAATCTCAGCTACGCGTTGACATACTAATTTTAATGGTCAGTTATTGTTTTATTCAGTTATTATGGTACGTAGGTACATCAGTTCAAGTTGCCGTATCCCATCAGCACAAAAATAAAACTTACAGGCCAAATCCCGGAATAGTAGAGTTAGTAACAGTACAAGTGGTAATTGAAAATACTGGAGATCGAAGATACGACCCAAGAAAGTATAAATTAATGAAATAAAAGCATATAAAATGTGAGGAATTCAGAAGCCCAGAATTTGGCGGAAGACAAAGAATGGATGCACCTACGCCATTTCAAATAATTTCGGACTATCGGTTACGATAATCGTGTGGACCGCGATTTAAAAACTAACAAGATAACAACATCTATCAACTAGTATCGAACTAGTTTTATATTTATCCCCAAGCAGCTGGGTTGAAAATTGAAGTTAGTTCTGATGGGAAATTGTCTTTAGCATTGCTGAGCGTTGAATGAGCTATATAGTGTAAGTAGGGCTATCTCACTGCTTATTTTTTGCATTACTGTAACTCGAAATGCCATGCTTTTTATTAAAAGTTTAATTTTTTCTGGTTTCTTGATCTTTTCTTTACAGTCATGTCTTTGAATCGACGTTACATGGACACATCATAATTCATTTTGGCAGTTACTAATGATAAACTTCCATGACTTTTTTGGCTATGAACTCTAAATTAGGATCCTCAATACCATTTCAGTGATGAATTTTTCAGTCCATTATTTTCTTTTATCATCATGTATATAGTGTTCAATTGTATATAAACTTTTGTAATTTTTTTTGTTCCCCTTTTTTAATTTGTTACTCAGCTGTACGTATACAAAACTTAGAAGTTAACTGATTTAAGTAAATTGACCAGTTAGAGGATGAAGTTTCCCGGAATAAAATATAGAAAAGAAAACTGTGTAAGCATAAAAACACTACAGTTCCAAATGCATTTAGCCGTGAATAAGTTTATGAGTACATTAAACGATTATGGTAATAAAACGATTTTATTCCCAATAATTCCTATTGTTTTATTTCACATATCAATCGCTGAGATTATTCAAATATAATTTTCACATATGATGACTTCTCTATACTCGGCGCCCAATTTCTGCCAAACTATTCGTTCTAATCTTGACGAATATTCGTATAAAAAGAATAGTTGTTTATTGACTTGTATGGTTTAAAGTTAGTGAATTTGAAAATACAGATTATTGATCCGCTCGATGTTTTGAAGGCAACACCTAACTGTGGTTCAGATTGGATCTTCAGTAGATATGTTAATTTCCTCAAGGTTTCCAACACGGTTTGTTAATGAGTGTTAGTCAACAATAAAGCTAGATCCAGAGATTCGCAACAATATTCTTCGATCAATATAAATAATTCATCACAGTTTCTATTATTTCTACAAATCATTGTAAATATAATTTATTTAAAGTATGATTTTATAATGGTTGAGATCATGAGTCAATTGAAGCTAGATCACCGTGGAAAACCTAGGAGCACTGGACGGCCATCTCGTCCTATTGTGGAACTCCTCAGCAATGCGCATCCACGATCCCCCTCTCGAGATTCGAATCCAGGAGTCCCATAATAGGATGAAACGGCCGTCCAGGTTTTCCACGGTGGTCTAGGTTCAATTGACTCATGATCTCAACCATTAAAATTGCTATAATATCCACAAAACCCCTTCTGATATATTATACTTGTTATTGGTTCACTAAACCGCGTTTACAGTTTACGTAACATTGTTAGTCATATATTTTTTTATTACCCAAAATCCAGCTTATTTAAAACAGACACTAAAATCTGTCAACTAATCAAATGGAAATCTTTTAATACAATTTTAATATTTACCTTTTGTACAATTTAATACTTTAAACTCTAGGTTTAGTCAAATAAGCATTCCTTGATTTATAGTTTGTTTTATTTTTTGCTTCAATATAATCTACTTGCTACGAAGAATATTTCTGTTATTTGTGTTGTTTTTTTTTCTTTTAAATATTTAACTCGAAAAATTTGGTAAATGATAACTGAATTATTACAGTAAAATTACAATACACTATAATTCATCATATTTATGAATGATTTACGACAGAAAGGGAAATAATTAATCTCTTCATTTTTGTTAATTCATTATTCCCTAAAGGATAGTTAGTTTGATATTTTGGTGCATTTTTTGTTGTTGTTGTTTTTTGTTTGTGAATATGAAGAAGTACGAAGATTAACATAAACTTATATATACATATATAAGGATTTAATCTGACCAGATTTAATCCGTTCCGGTCATGAAACGTTCATATTTATTTATGTGTATGTGTGTAAGCTTACTTGAACGATAATTATCTGTAATTTAGATATCAACAAAAGTAAGTTCTATGTGCTCACCATACAGTTTAAAAAGAATTTGTAAAGATCTTTGCTAAAGGAGACACGGTTTTATAATAAACAATTAACAAATGTTATTTAATGAATTTTATTTTACCACAAAACTCGATTCTAAATAAAGCAATTACACTTGAACAACAATCCTTCCGAATCTGATATAAATTTTATTGAATATAGTCATTATCTAGTTTAGGAATTTAACAATATGATAGAACCATGATTACCTTTATATGTAAAAGGACTGAACTAAATACACTAGCTCAAAAATAACTCTTCAACATCTTCATATGAAAGCTATGTAGCACTTGTTTGTAAATTAAGTTTAAAACCTACACGATTAGTTTGATGTAAGAACAAATAAACTTATCTTGAAATGTGGCTTATGGAATTCAACATTGTATGCACTGTTTAAAGAAATTGCATGAAGGTTGATTTTTTCAATTTTAAACAATTTGACTGACTATAATGTATAGTCGCTAAAAGATTTCTCAGATAATGCTCATGCCTTATAAAACATTTTATTTTTGAGATTTTATTAAAATAATAACAATCAGATATTATTTTATAAACCATGGACATAGTAGACATATTTAAAGATTATATTTGAAGTAACATCGGTGACTGAAAATTAAACGGTCCCAACCTTCCAATTGGCAAACAAGTTCGAACTTCTACAAGAAAATAATCGAAATCAACGTCAAAGGATATATATATAGTTTTAAAACTAAGTCAAAAGTTTATCCAATCAAGTTCATATGTTTATTTTGCGTAGTGACTTCAAAGAACATTTGATGTGAAAAGTGCTTGAGTGTATGTGTGCTGTATTCTGTTGATATTAGAAAATATGACTAAGGACATTTTAATCGTTTTTTTTTTGCAAAACTAATAGTAAGTATGAGTATGAAAATCTTATTGAAGTATCTGTAGAATCGGTCCAGTCAAATATATAACCGTGTTGTTAAATTGAGGTTTATCATGGATAAATTCAAAAATAACTGAATAAGCGCTCGTTTTTATCGGGATCATGCTTCATTTAGTATAGGCGAGGTGGATACTAAGTTCAGTGTATTTATTTGTTGGTCAACATTTACCGTGGAGTAGACAATTATTCTGATTCAGCACCTAAACCGTCGTAAAGAATTTTTGTCCCTTGAAATTTGATTTTGCTTCTGAGTGTAGTACTATTTCTAAACTTTTATTAGGCTTCTTGAGTTCTGGGGATGTAGGATAATGTTACAAACATTATTTGTGTTCTCCCACCCTGATATTGAACTATCTAGATTTTGATGGAGTTTTGTTCTCTAAGCTGGATGGTTTGGTCGTGGAGCTTTCGTCGTTCTTCTGAACGATATCATCAGCACAAACTTCAGGTAGAAGTGAAGTGTTCGAATTTCTCAACATGTGGTTCGCAGCTTGACCTTTAGACCTCAATGTTGATTGGTTCTTGTTGACAGGTCAAAATCATCCACCTGAGCTACAAATCTTCACCATCTCACTACCTAGATGTCTCTCTTACATATATTGAATTACACTCATAACACCTAACTTGTTCTTCTTTTGGTATCTTATCCTTTACTTCACTCATGTTGATTTAATGTTATCACTAGCTCAAAAATAAACTTTTATATCATATTTATTTCAAACTTTATTCACAATATGGGATGATCATTGTTTTTTCGTCCTTTTAGTAAACGCTCTGATTTAGTTTTCTTTCTTTTTTTTAAATATGTTTATGGGATTTCTTAGGATAATTATTTTTCCCAAGTGTAAATAGGATCAAATGTAATCCAGTTTGTATGTCTTCTATCTCATTACCAAGCTTAATATCACCGTTTACCAAGTTTCTAGCAATCATGAAAGACGGTGTGATGACTAGTAATATTGCTAACGCTTGCACTGTTGTTTTTTCTCTTCAATCGGGGAAGTTTAGTTTACAGTTCACAAATTCGGGTTATTTAGGCAGTCTTATGCTACCCGACGTAGTATTAACTTGTCGATTTTTTTAGATTAGTCTCATCTGATAACAAAAATATCAACATATCGTAACCGAATCTCAGGTGGAAGCATATTTCACGATTGCACTTGTTTCCAAAGCGTGCATAAATAAATTTCGTATTACTTGTGAAAGTAGTAGTAGCCATATCCACTCCTTTTTGTTGATACAGAGTTCAAAAAATGAAAATATGGACATAGTAATAAAAATATGACTTCCATATGAACCCGTTCATTTATGTAGTGCAACATAACTCCACATCAGATGATAGTCTTCTACAGATAATCAAATATTATAGATCAGGTTGCAGTAGGGCTACTAATTTGAATGACTTAAGATCGCTCTGCACTAGACTCTAAAAGATAATCAACATGGTAGATATAAGCTGCGTGTTAGTTGGTTTTCATTAATGAGGTGTATGCACAATCTCGATAAAAACCAGTATTTTTCGTAGGATTCGAACCCAGACATGTAAAGTTAGGTTTCAGGAAATTTGTAAATACCTCTTGACGACAAGTGTCGACTAAAACAAACCTTAGGTCCACCACTTCCCAGCAATGTTGATAATTACGTGATATTAATTAACCTGAAAAGATACTTTCATTTTACAAATGATTAGTTCAACTTCCTTTAATAACCAAAAGATTAATATTTTAAATCATAGGTAAGTAACAATGTTTATTATTTGAACACGAAATTAATTCATTAACAGTCATTTGAAGGAGTTCAATTGAAATAAATACAAACATATTATGATGCAGTGAAATAATAATATCGCTTGATCGAATAACTAAAATATGACTTACCAATAATATATTATAATGGAGGCTATTTATCAATTAGTTTTATTAGTTTATTAATTAAAAATGACCATTCATTTAATAAAAACTTGAATATTTAAACAATAAAACAGCGGGTCATATAAACAAAATTCAAGTATAATAATTTCATCACACGAAATGTTAATAATAAATTTTATAGTCAATTTCAATATAATTAGTTATTCATTTAAATTTGCCTTAGCAAAAAGAAAAAAAAAAGAAGTAGAAATAACTTTTCTTTTCTGTAAATCTATAAGGAATGAAGTTTACCATCTTGACTAGGTATAAACAATATTCTAGAAAAGTGTAGGTTTTAGGTCACAATCATGTAATTAACTACATTAATCGTTGATAACGTATTTAATAAATTTAGTAATGATCATCTTTGTGTGTGTGTATATAAACATTTTCATTCATTTTGCAGCTGAAACATGTATAATGTGGAATATCTTAAGTAATTAAGAGAAAACATGTATTAGTGAATATATTCACATGAAATCAGTAAATTAACTTATTAAGTAGTATTTGATGGATGAACTCCATTGGTAGTATTTACCAACCAAATTTAGAATGAGAACAAAAACTTGTAATCACATCACGAATATTCATACATTAGTGTATGTTTGATAAATGTTCTTATTTTCCTGATTCCAAGATAACGTAAAATACAAACTTGTAAAACATAAGTTTTCGTTTATTTAAATTTTGTCTGACTGTGTAATAGAAGACACGCATTTATTCCTATTTGGAACTCATCA